CTCAGGTTTTCTTGACTCCAGGTCCAGTGCTTTATCCACTCAGGCATGAGCTCACCTTCATTCCCCTGACTTCAGCCTTATAATTATCTACAACCCTCCCCACACACCCATAATGGGACCATCCTCATTCCTGGATCCTAGATTTATCACAGTGATATCTCCATCACTGACCCCAGTACTGGTACACCATTCTGACCCTTTCAATCCTTAGCCCTGCTTAGCATCACCATGTCAGGGGCTGTAATTTGGAAGCCTTTACTTCAGCACCCTATCCCCATGAGAGAGCCCTAATGAATGCTGTTTCTCAGTAACCATTATATAACAGCACCTTAAAAACCAAGCTATAGCCTCCCTTTCTCTCTCTCTCTCTCTCTCTGTCTCTGTCTCTCTGTCTCTGTCTCTGTCTCTCTCTCTCTCTCTCTCTCTGTCTCTGTCTCTGTCTCTGTCTCTCTGTCTCTCTCTCTCTCTCTCTCTCTCTCTCTCTGTCTCTGTCTCTGTCTCTCTGTCTCTCTCTCTGTCTCTCTCTCTCTCTCTCTCTCTCTCACAAACACACATATTCTCTCTTTCTGTCTCTGTGTCTCACAACACACACACACACACACACACACACACACACACACACACAATTTTCCCTGCCCTTCTGATTTTTTTGATAGGTGGACAGTGGAAAGAGCTGCCTACCTAGAAGCATTTAATGCTCAAGCTAATCAAAATATGATTGCTAGGCAGACCCAGGACAGTTCTAGTCAATCAAACAGGGTAACCAATGTTCACCCACCATCATGCTCATGGGTGAGCCATGCATCCTTTGCCCTGGTTGATTAGAGAGTGGGTGATAATGCTCAACTCTATCTTCTCTAGGGGACAGGTGTGTGATCACGTGAGATTGGGCCCCTTCGCTCCCATGATCCTAGGTCTATCATGGACTCCAAGGCTTCGCTCTCTTCTGATCTTAAGAATCCTGCACCTGGGAAGAGCCCTGAGCATGGACAAACTGGCATTACAACAACAACAGTAATAATGATAATAACTAGCATTTATATGACACTTTAAGGTTTGCAAATACCTGACATATCTCTTAGCTCATTTAGCCCTCACAATAACGCTGGGAGGTAGGTGATATTATTATCCCAATTTTACGGATGAGGAAACCAAGGCTCAAGTCTTCCTGACTTCAAGTACAAAACTCTATTCACTGGGCCACCTAGTTCTCTGTGAAGACGATTTTGGGGGGGGAAAGGATAGAGAGTGGCACCTGGATTTGTCACTTCATTTGTGCAGTAAATTACCGTTGAGGAAATTCCTTCTGCCAATGCAAACTAGGATTGGAAGAGGAGAAGGGGGTGGGGACAATGAAAGCCTAAATGATTTTGCCCAGGGTCACACAGCCTTTATGTGTCTTCCTGTGACCAGCTCTTTATTTGCTATGGCCATCCTATGTCTCTGGGAAAATGATACCCTGTCTTCTGAATAAAGAAATAAAGAAGCTTCTACAAGTCTGAATTTTGGCTGCCTAACAGTGTCTCACAAAGATAACTTAGCCCCTAAGACACAGGTTCTGAAGCTGAAAGGGTCTCCAGAAGCAGACCCCTTCCCTGTTACAGTTGAGGAAATGGCATCCCAAGGGAAGGGAGTTATCCAAGGTCACACAGATAGTGTCAGAGGCAGGAGTCAAAACTAATTAATGACATGACTTCAGGACATAATAATAAGTTTTCACATTTCTGTAGTGTTTGAACACTTCTAATGGGGTTTTCTATGCAATAATGCCCCGGGATAGCAAGTACAAATGTGATTATGTCCATTTTACAGAAGAGTAAACTGATGGTCAGAGTAGGTAGTTCAGTGATTTGCCCCATCTTAAGTAAGTATCAGTGTCGGGCCTTGACCTCAGTTCTTTCTGACTCCAGGACCCAGGTGTTCTTTCCTACATCACCCAACTTATGGCTGGATCAAAAATCAATGTCATGGGTGATGGTCATCTAGGGGTATAAGCATGGATCCCAACCTATTTATAACTTAGTCTTAGAGAAATGCCTAAGACTGAGCTCTTTTTAAAAATTTGCCTGTGGCCACATGTAGCTACTTTCTATCAGAGGTGGAATTAGAACCCAGGTCTTCCTTTGCCCCCTATACTGCCTCTCACTATGGCTGGAATAGTTTTTATATGGAGGTGGATGGAGGTTCAAGAGTGTGAAAGTAAGGGTGGGAGGAGGGGTCAATGCCCTTAGCCAGAAGGACCCAGGTTACCCCCCAACCTCCCTGTTCTTGTTCTGATTACTGTGACCTTTCTCCCCCTGGGGAAGACTTTTGAAAACCCTGGGACTGTGGCACCTTCTGGCCAAAGCCAGGGTGTCCGACTCATCTGCTTTCATCTCCAAGAGTCCCCTTGTCCTTTCTGGTACTACTGACCTTACCTTCGGGGATTTTTTTTTCTGAGGCCATGAGTGGATGAGGATGGTGGTCAATTACAGTGTGAGACCTATGCTTTCAGCGAACATTCTTTCCTTGCTGGTCCTTGGCCTCTGCCCTCTTCCCCTCCCACTGCAGGCAGGGGGAGGGGCCTAGTCACAATGTCCATAATGATGTCATTTATGACTACTTGGCCAGCCTATTGTCAAGTGTGTGTGTGTTGGGGGGGGGTGAGGTAGGGAGATGGGGAAGGATTAAAGGGCTCCCCTCTTTAGAGTTGTATAATCTCTCCAAGACCCCAGCTCCATAAAATCCCTTATTCTCTTAGCCTTTATCTCCTATTAAATGCCCTTTGCCTTCCACCTGGAGTCTGGGAAAAGCACCATTACCATTGGGAATCCTAGAGCAAGAAGCCTGGCAATCATTTCATATGGCACATCTCCGGAAAGAGGCACCATCCCAAGAAACCACTATTCAAATCTGGCCTCAGACATTTACTGGCTATGTGACCCTGAGCAAGTCACTTTAATTCTCTTTGCCTCAGTTTCCTCATCTGTAAAAAGATAATAGCACCTACCTCACAGGGTTGTGTGAGGCTCAAATAAGATAATGTATACAGCGTTTTGTAAACCTTAGGATCTAGGACAATAACCATAACGATGACAAGGACGATTGCTTCCTACACATCTTGTTCTCATCTTTTTCTTTGGAGTTCAACTATAAACAGTTGGTGCTTAATAAATATTTGTGCTCTCCTGCTATTATTGTTTCCTGTTTTCTGTGGATGATTGCACAGTCAGTAGACATTTATTAAGCATCTACCACGTGCCAGGCACTATGTTAAGTGCAGGTGGATAAGAGCACTGCTTTTTGGAGCTGAACAAAAGGCAATCCATCCTCTCCAGATGCTGATGGAAGCATCATTGGTTCAACCACTAGAAGATGGGACAACAGGGATGATTTTCATCTCCTCTTGTTCCCATGTGATTTTTTCTTTGAACAACAAGGACTTTGATCACAAAAGAAAAGCTGCAAATTGTCTGGGGTGGGAGTGGTGAGGCCAAGGGCTCCAGGCTGGGTTGGCCCCCTCCTCCCCTCATTCCCCAGGAGGTACCAGGGCCATACATAGCACCATGAGAAAGATGATGTGGGATGGCCTCTGTGAGAGCTACAGGGTTATGTGAGTGGAGGAAGGGAAAGAGAGTGCTATCTGCCAAACAGATCCCCCTCCCCCACTCTTTATGGCTTTTCTTCCTAGATTGGGGCAGATGATTGCCATTGAGGCAAGAGATAAATAAGGTCAAGAACCATTCTGAGGCAGGGAGGAGGGCATCTTTGTCCCTCTGTGCTGGATTTGGAAGTAAGGGCATCCCCACACACATCCTAGGCTCTGTCTTCTTGCCACTGAGGCAAATGGTTCCCTCATCCACCCATAGAAGGGGCTGCCAAGAGGTTGATAGGTGGTTGATTTCTTGCTAAGCTTTTCCCTGCTGTGTCAAAAGGATGGGCCCTGGCCATCCATCGCCTCCCCTCCCCCACCTCAGGGCTCTCAGAGCTAGGCCTGGGGGTCTGCTGAGCCAGAGCCCTTGGTATATAAGGAGGGCAGAGATGAGGCAGCCCCCAGAAAGGCAGACCCTTGCCTCCCATGTCCTGCAGAGCTGGGGAAGGGCCTTGTTACTGAGGTTAGTCCTGTTCAATTTGAAGAGCTTAGCTCTTCTGCTAAGCCTCTATATTTTGAAAGCCTTTTTCTTCCACCTAGTTTGGAGACTGGGTGTGTTTGGGATGGTGATATCTATTCAAACTATTCTCAAACTTTTATGGATTAGTAGTAATTATGATTATTATTTCATTCTCATTTTATGGGTTTCAGATAGAAACTGTTTGTGGGAAAAAGTCACTAACCAGCTAGGATTTCTATATTAGATATTAAATTATTACTTGTATTTTGTTATACTAGATTGAATGATTAGCTATATTAAATTACATATAGTAATCCACTTGAATTTTATATTTCATGTTCTTCAGACTAATATCTCAGATAGATAAAATGGCTTTTGTAACTGAATAAAAATACTGACCCCATCTTCTGTAGGCTTTGGAAGCACCTCTGGAAAAAACTCCAGGAGGAGACAGGATGATGAGGACAACATGGCCTTCCTCCTATTCCCACATGACTTGATTTTGTCCACCTGGCCTCTATATTTTGAGAGCTGTGATGATAATAATAATGTTAATAGCAGCTAACATTTATATGGTGCTTTAAGGCTTGCAAACTGCTTTGCATATGTTAACTCATCTGCACAACAACCCTGGGAGGTAGGTACTATTATTATCCCTATTTTACAGTTGAGGAAACTGAGGCAAACAGAGGTTAAGTGATTTCCCAGGGTCACACATCTTGTAAGTGACTGAATCCACTGGGTCTCCTAGCTGCCTATGATGAGGAAGAAGATGTCCTGCTAAATTGACATATAGCAATTGGGAAGAGATGATCACTCACCAAGTCCTGAGGATTCTTCCTTTGTGGTATGTCTCATTGGTCCAGGGAGGCAGATTTTGGCTCATTGGATGGAAAAAGTTTCCAAAAATTAGAGCCATCCATAAGTGAGAAGGGCTGTCTCAGGAGGTAGTGATGAGATTCTTATCACTGAAAGTGTTCAAGCAGAAGTAGGGATGGGCCCCATCAGGCGTGCTGTAGAAGGGGATTCCTTCAGGAGATGGGAGGGTTAGGCTGGCTGACCTCCACCATCTTTTCCAGCTCTGAGGTTCTAACGTTCTACTCGTATAGCCGCCATCCTAGTCCAGACCTTCCTCACCTCTCCCCTGGATTATCACATAACGAGCCTCTTCATAATTAAGTTTTCCTTGCCTTCGTGTCTCCCCTCCCTAATCCATCCTGTGCACATGGAATGAACAATGAACAGCTCTGATCTCCTCATTCTCCAACCCTGCCCCAAATTTCCCTGGCTCCTATATACTGTCTATAGCAGGGGTAGGGAACAAGTTTGGATTCAGTCAAAGGGCCACACTTGAGGACCTAGAGGGCCATACGTAGCCTCAAGTCCACAGCTTCCCCACCCCTGATCTATAGCATAAAGAGCCAGCTCCCAAAATTTGAGACCCCCTACAATCTATCTCCAATCTACCTTCTCATCTCCCTTTCCAATCCCTCCTTCCTTCACTCATCATCTTCGACAGCCAGACCTGCTCACTCCACTCACCCCACCTTCATAACTTCACTTAATTAAACATTTAAAATGCTGTCTTATTAGAAAATGCCCTATAAATGTGAGCTATTATGATTACTGCTTTTCATGGAATGCCACTCCCTCTCTTCCCACATCTGCTGGTCCAATCCAATCCAAAAGCATTTGGTAAGGGCCCAGTATGTGACTAGTGAGGAGAGAGAGTTGTCCCAGGAGCCAGGAAGAGCTGACTTTGAGTCGTTTCTCCGACATACACCTTGAGCAAGTCAATTAGCCTTTTGTATCCTAGGAAACTCTCAAAGACTATAATAGCCATCATTGGTATAGTACCTACTGCGGGCCAGGCACTGCGCTAAGTGCTATCACAAATTTATCCCATTTGCTCCTCACAACAAACCTGGGAGGTCTCAGGTGCTATTATCATCCCGATTTTGCAGTTGTGGAAACAGATGTAAATAGAGGCCAAGTGACCTGCCTAACTTCATACAGCTAGGAAGTGCCTAAAGTTGAATTTGAACTCAGGTCTTCAGGACTCCATATCTAGCATTCTATTCACTGCACCACCAGCTGCCACCAACTATAAGTTTCTAGTTATTTACTAATGAGCATTAGTAATGGGAGTTTCTCACCAGGAACCCTAGAAAGACAGACAGCTAGCTAGATAATAGATAGATGGACAGAGGGGCAGATAGACAGACAGATGGAAGGATAGCTAGCTAGCTAGCTAGAGAGACAGAGAGATAGACAGACAGACAGGTAGATAGATAGATAGATAGATAGATAGATAGATAGATAGATAGATAGATAGATAGATAGATAGATAGACAGATGGATAGAGAGATGGACAGAGAGATGGAAAAGCAAAAGAATAGAGAAATGGATGTAAAAATGAACAGAGAGATGGAAGGCCAAATGGACAGAACAATGGAGAGGCAAATGGATGGATAGAGAGAGAGACATGGACAGAGACAGATTATGTCAAAAGATAGATAGATAGATAGATAGATAGATAGATAGATAGATAGATAGACAGAGACAGACAGACAGACAGACAGACAGACAGATAGATAGATAGATAGATAGATAGATAGATAGATAGATACAAATGAATGGATAGAGAGATAGAGAAATGAAAGAACAAATGGACAGACTGTTGGAGAGGCAAATGGATAGCTAGAGAGAGAGAAATGGACAGAGACAGATTATGTCAAAAGATAGATAGATAGATAGATAGATAGATAGATAGATAGATAGACAGACAGACAGATAGAAAGGCAGATAGACAGACAGACAGATAGATAGACAGATAGATGATTGGTAGACACTCAGATGGGTGAATTGATGGTCAGGCAGACAGATAGATGGATGAACAGAGAGTTGGATGGATGTCCCAATAGATAAATGGACAAATAAGACAGATAAGTAGATAGATAGACAGTATTTATTAAGCACTTAGTATGTATAAGGTACCATATTGAATTCCGGGGATATGAATATAAGCAAACAAGCCCAAGTTCCTGCCCCCAAGGAGTTTACATTCTAGTAGGAGAAGATAACCTATAAAGAAAGATGGGGGTGGGGAGAGGTTGGAACGAGTGGTTTGAAACTGGTGGCAAAGAAGTGAGGCAGGTAGGCTTGGTTCCAGGTAAGATATGTTCCCCAGAACTGAGTGGGAAGGAGGTGAGGATAAAGCCTTTTTAACCAACTTTTGACAGATTCCACCCCCTCCACTGACATTTTCTTTATCTCTATGTGAGCTAATTTCTACTTTTGTCAATCACGAATGAACAATTATCACATTTGACTTGAAAATGTCAGATTATGCCCTTGTCTTCACATTCCGAATTCTGTTAGGTTTCCCTTCGTGCCCTAAATCCCTTTCTTCTCCTCAGGCTTGCTTCTGTAAACAGCAAAACATTGGCCTGTTACCTTTGCCAGACTCGTGTAACTCTGGTGGCATAATTAAATAGTGGTATGTTATCAGTAAACGCTAAACGTCCATCACCTACACATTCTCTCCTAGTCGGCTGTGTGGCCCTTATACGTACTTGTTATCCAAATCCATGATAAAGCTCAATATTTTTTACTCATAGAATAACCTGCAAGTGAGAAGTTTAAAAAGGTAACTGATATTCTAGGGAGTGTCCAGAGGAGAGCAAGGCATGGATCTTGAATCTATGCCAGATGAGGCATCATTAAAGGACCTGGGAATGTTTAACCTGGAAAAGAGAAGCCATGGGGTGGGAGGAGGGGGTTCATGACAATTGTCTTCAAGTATCTGAAGGAATGTTACCCAGAAGGTGGTTTAGCCTCATTCTACCTGGCCTCAGGGAGAACTAGGAGAAATGGGTGAAAGGTACAAATAAGGCAAATTTATTTAAAAAACAAAACCAAAAACTTCCTGACAATGATCATCAATGTCCCAAAGTGGAGTGGGAGGGGGAAGTGGGCTCCCCCTCCCTGTAGGTCTTCTAGCAGAGCCTGGGCCGCTATGTATTAGGTATGACATAGTGGGGATTCCTTAGATTTCTTTGTTAGATGGCCAGTGAGGTCCTTTCCAAACTCTAGCAAATTCTGTGGCCAACCCTGAAAGACTTGGTCACTCTGGTAAGTTCAGTGGTCCATAAAAACTCCAAAGGACCCGTAATGCAAAATGCCATCTACCTCTAGATGGAGAACTGATGGACTCAGAGTCCATGAAGATTGAAGTATATTTTCTCTCTCTCTGTCTCTCTCTCTCACACACATACATATATGTATATATGTGTGTATACATATGTATATATATACACATCTATACGTGTGTTTTATATATATGTATATAGATCTATGTGGATGTCTATGCACACATGTGTTTATATGCATATATGCATACACCTATATGTATGCATATGCATGTGTGTATGTATACATGTGTGTATACAGGTATGTGTGGATTTACATGTATGCGCTCATATTTATGTATACATGTCTATTTGCATGCACATATGTGTACACGTGTGTGTTTATATGTATGCATATGTGTGGGTTTGTATGTGCCTACCTATATTTACATGTATGTATATGTGCATATGCACGTGTATATATGCCTATATACATATATTTATGTGTGTGTGCATATCTATTTGGAACATGACCAATGCATACACATGTTTTGCACAACTGTATGTGTATAATGGATATCATATTTCTTGCCTCTCAATAGGTGGGGAAAGGAGTAGAGGGAGAGAATTTGAGACTAAAAATAAAAACCAGAGTATATGCCCAGGTCCATGTAAAATGCCTTTAAATTAAAAAATAAATATAGACATGGGGGAAGTGGCAGAGGGAGGGAGAGGATTTACAACTGAAAATAAAAATTAAGTTAAAAAATAAAATACAGACTTAAGGAACAAAGGTCCATTGACCCATTTGGCCGGTGTCCAACCCCCTTCTGGTGTTAGTTCCATCGGTGGGGCCTCCTATAACACACACACACACACACACACACACACACACACACACACACCCTCACTGGGCTTGTACTAAGCCTCTCCAGTGTAGTAGTTGGCCCTTCCTGACAGGAGCAACATCTGTCAAAGTCTCCACTATGCAGACGAGTCTAGTTTTCTCCCTAAAAGACAAGGAAACCATCTTTGAGACCCGGTTGGTTCGGAGGCCTAAGGCTCACTAAGGCTCAGACCACTGACACAGCTTCTTGACTACCTGAGTAGAAGGTCACTCAGTGTGTGAGAAGGAGAACCGCTCCTTGGCACCCAGCACCACAATAAATGCAGACCCAGGAGAGCTACTCACTGGACCAATGTTGTATTATTGCTGGGTCTCCTTCCCTTGCCACGTGGTGCCCATTAGGGTTCCTTTGGCTACGAGTATCTCATTTCGATGTAATCCTGATCCTGAATCACTGGACTGGCTCAAGGCAGGCCAGGCCCAGAATGGTCTTTTGTGCTGGTATAGCCTGGGGGACTCAGGGTCGACTCCAGGCTGTGGTGAGGCACTGGAGAAGAGAGGGGGTGAAACTCTGATTTAGCACAGCTTGTACCCAAGACAGTATGGTGGCTGGCTGGCTGTTCTTGGTGGGGGTGGGGAAGAGGTCAGACTGAGCCAAGCCAGCTCAGAGGGCTGGGACGGAGGAGGGCCAAGCACAGGGAAAAGCAGAACTGAGCCCAGGAGCAGGACAAGGCCGGACAAAGGCCAAGCACGTGGTCAAATGGGATTGACCTCAGTGACTGCGTTGATGTCTTGGGGATGGGTGGAGGGTACGTTCCTTGGACCTGGGTATACACTCTGGCTCTGCTACACTAAATAAATGGATGAGAAGATTTTTGGCCACTAAAAAGCACAGAAGACAAAATACCCATTTCTCCCCATCTGCACATGTGCAGCTTGGAGGCTGCTCACCGACATGAGTAGAGATGTGACCTTCCTTCTGTAGCATAGGGCATCGGACTTGGAGTTAAGAAGACCTGGTTCAAATTCCACCTCACATTCTTACTTGCTGTGTGACTCTAGGCAAATCATGTAACTTCTCTGGGCTTCAGTTTCCTCATGTGTAAAATAGGGTGGGGGACTTGATGGTCTCAGAGGCCTCTTCTGGGCCCAAGTCTACGCTTCTAGGATCCTAGGATCTCTCTAGGAAGGCCCAGGGCTGCTCGTGCCTACAGAGCCCACCCTGCGTGTCAGACGCTCCAGCTGTCCTTACTGACCCACAGTCACAAATACATCGCTTCCTCACAATGCACGCAGTATCACAGCACAGCCCTCCACACGACCTTGTGCCTGGCAGGCTCTGAGGCTCAGGGAACGTCATTGGCTCCCCATCGCCAGCCATCAGCACGGCCTCTTCAGCTCAGCCTCTGAGGCCCTGCGCCAAGCGGCCCCAGGCCAGCTTTCTGCTCATATTTCCACGGGTGTCCTTCCTGGGTGTCCTTCTTGGGCGCCCCATGGCCAAACCCAAGGTTCCATCTTCCACCCCCATCCACATCCTCCTCTGAGTACTGCTCTTGGCCTGAAATGCCCTCCCTCCTCGCCCCTGCCTCTCAGAGTATCTCCCTTCCAGCTCCCTGATAGAATGGAAGCTCCTCGAGGGGAGGGACCATTTGGGTTTTGTCTTGGTGTGCACAGAGGAATAACCTAGTACAGGCCTGTGACTTGGCTGGTTTGACCTACCGCTCAGAGCTCCCGCGGAAGCCAAGGGGCTCAGTCTGTGCCTCACCTCCTACAAGAAGCCATTGCTGATCCCTTTAGGGGTCCCTTCTAAAATCTCACATGTGCATGTGTGTATGTGCGTGTGTGTATTTGTATAGGGTGTGTGTGTATACATACATACATATATATGTATATAGTATGTGCACTTATAGGCACATATGTATTGCATAGTACAAATGCACACACCACATACACATTTATATAGTACTCACTTATACATGCACACTCGTAACACATATGGACATGCATGTAAGCAGTTCACATATGCAGTGATGCTTGTATTACATAAAACTACATGCATGTATCACATGAGTGTTCATTGCAACATATTTGCTTGCATAAATACATGCGCATACAGTATACAAATATGCAGCTGCATGTGCATATATGTATGTGTATATGTTCTGTGTTTTATAACAATCACATATATACAGTAACTATACATGAATACACAATGCACATATGCATGCATGTACAAGACAAGAATATGCATGTGCACATGCACACGTGTATGCAAACATGCACAACACAATGTACATGCATGTTGCAGCATGCATGTACACACAGGTCTGTGTGTGTGCACATACACTGCACCTACATATACATGTGCATACGTGTGTGTGCCCATATACGCAGATGTGCTCATACATGTGCGCACACACGTGATGCACACACGTACATATACGTGCACTCAGGTCTGCACAAGCATATACATATATGCACACAACATACAACTCTAGATATATTCCACAATACAGCTATACACATACAAACGCTTATGCACATGTATACGTGTATACCTATTAGTATGCACGTGTGTACAATGCACACATAATATACATGTACGTACAATACCACATGATACACTGTGCATATGCATGTGATATATTGCACATGTTTATATGCATGTCACACATGTGTCCGTATATGCACGCACATATACTGTGTGTGTATACATACCATGCATTATGCATATGTACATGTATGCTTATAAAATAGGCTATACACATAGATGGGCTGTAGACTCATACACACATAAATATGTACCATATACACATGCATATACATATACATCCTTATGCACATTTAAAATATGCACCTTGTATCCCTATACACATACAAATACACGTGCACATAGACATACACATCTGCACACATGTACAAATACAAACATGCATATAAATGCAAGCATACACACAAACATACACATCTATGCATAGACCTGCATTGCATATATACACCCATATGCAGTGTGCACACCATGTACTTACACATGCATGTATACACATGTATGTAGATACATATAAACACTATATTCATGCAATACGTACCCAACACACCTATGCATGTGTGTGTACACAAGATACTCACATGCGTGTACACAGACATGCATGCTCACAAACACATGGTTCGTTTTGCTCTCTAGTCTAATGAGCTGCCTAGAGTCCTCAGAGGTTTAAGTGACTTATCCAAGGTCACTCAGCCAATGGTTGCCACAGGCAGGACCTGGGTCTCCCCTCTGCCATCTTGTTACTCTCATCAGATACTTATCTATTCATGAGTCATTCTGACCCTTCTCCTCACCTCCCCCAAGAATGTAAGGTCCTCCCTGGCAAGGACTGTTACCCAATTGTCTCTGTATCCTCTGGGTCTGACACATAGTAGGTGCTTAATAAATGCTTGCTAGATTGAATTTTTGAAAAGTATCACAAATTACCCCCACAACTTCCTCACCTAATCACCCAGGGTCACACAGACATGTTCCCACTGGTCTCTCACAACCTCCTACCACCCATGTTTACTCAGGGCTGTGTGGCCTCAGTTTCCCATGTCTCCACACACAACCCCTTGTATCCAGTCTCGCACATTTACACCCAGTTCCACGCTATTTGTACCCTTAGTGTGTCCCCTGTTTGCGAGGCAGGGAGGAGGAGGGCAGATCAATGCTGAAAGGGGAGACGGTTTCTGGGGTGGGAGGTTGACAGGGGCCTGATGGCTGCTCAAGAGTCCTGGCTCCATGATCAGCCCAGCCTTGCTCTGCCCCAGCCCCCTCCCAAACCAGCTGCCTTCAGATACTCTCCAGAGGGCTAAGCAGTGGTGTCACGAAACTATTATTTAGACACAAAAACCTGAATTTGGATCCTGACTCAGAAATTTACCCCCTGTGTGATCACGGGCAACTCATTCCACTTCTGTGTTTCAGTTTCCTTATCTTAGAGAGAAATAAGCATTTATTAAGCACCTACTGTATGCCAAGCTCTGTGCTAAGTGCCTCACAAACGTCTCATTTTATCCTCACGGTAACCCTAAGAGGTAGGTGCTGTTATTATTCTCATTTTTTAGCTGAGGAAACTGAGAAAGACCAAGTTTAATTGACTTGCCCAGGACTCTCACAGCTAGGATGTGGCTAAGACTAGGTTTGAACTCTTGTCTTCCTGTCCAGGGGCACTGCTCTATCAAGTTGACTCTTAGATATTCTCAAAGATCCCTTTGAGCTCCAAAATCCTAGGATCTTTCTACTAGGAGTAAAACAATTACTCACAGCTTAGAGTGATGTAACACAGTCAAGGAGGTATGCTTTCCTGCTGTTTGAGGTCAGTTATAATAAGGGGAAGGGCTTTAAAAAAAAATTTTTTTATGAGGACAAGGGGACAGAGCTGAAGAGAAGGCCAGGGGGTTGGGAGGGGGGCAGGGTGAGTGGAAAGGTCACACTAGCGAGATTTGGTTTGAGGCAGCTGGAGTACATGGTGAGCCCTGACTTCCTGATAGATGGGCAGGGCGGGATGCTGAACAGGGAAGTAGGGCCTTGCTTTGGTCTTGGGACCAGCTCAGCTGCCTCTCTCATCCCAGAAACCAGCTGGGAAGAAATTCCTGAGGCTAGTACAGGGAGCTCAACCATCTGAGCCCACCACCCACTCCTCACCAGGCAAACCTTGAACATGAGGGTTCTCTCAGAATATGGTCCCCAAATGCCACACCTCTGATCTGGGGAATAGGCATCAGGGGCCAAGATGCCAGATTTGAAGTCAGGGAGTCCTGTGTTCAAATCCAGCCTTGTATACTTCCTAGCTTTATGACTCCGGGGCAAGTCATTTAATCTCTCTGTGCCTCAGTTTTCTCATCTGCAAAATGGGGATAATAACAGCATCTACCTCTCATGGTTACTGTGACAATAAAAGGAGATGTTGGAAAAGTGGTTTGCAAACCTTAAAGTGCTATGTAAATGCTAGTTATGGTTATTATTACTAATATAGGAGAATGGAAGGTAGCGATAGAAGAGATCAGCCCCTCTCTGAATTTCTTGAATACTAAATGTGCCCCCTCCACACTTCCAACCATACTCAGAGCCCAGCCTGTCCCTAGCCGTCCTGGAGCTGGGTGGGGGTTTTGCCCTTGGGTTTGGACTGGGAGATTCACCTGTGTCTTGAGAGCTGGGCCCCACCCTTATTCCCAGCTGCTTGGATCGTCCTTGAGATGTGACTTTGCTGGCCCGGGATCGGGATCTCTTGACAGTGGCCAGGACCACCTTGCTGATGGTTTGAGGCTTGATGGCAATCCCTTGGACCTCTGATAGAGAAAGCTTTGCAGTATTACTGCCACTTCCACCCCCAGGTCCACTGGGTCGAGCCTTGCCAAAGTGAATTTGGCTGGGTTTGGCCAGAGCGTTGCCTCCTTTCTTCGGTCCAGAGGCCTGGATGTCACTTTTAGTCATGTTCAAGTTGTCCACATGAGGGACACTCTCTTCTGGTTCCCACTGGAAGGGCATACTTTCTATAAAGGGCCCCTTTCCACTCCAGGCCATGCTCTTTACAATGTCTCCTGCCTCACCGAGGACAGGTGGCCAGAGCGGAGTCCTTGATGGGCAGTTCATCTCTGCCAATGAGTTGCTCGAGGGAGGAAGGACCACTTCTTCATGTCTTAGCTGCATCCTGCTGGGCCAACGGCCTGTTCCTGAGGGACCACTGGTGTTGTCTGAAAAGTAACCCCAGTGCCGAGGGGCTGGGAAGGACAATGCGATCTCACCAGGGAAGATCTTGGGCTGATTCCCATGGAGGCTGGGCAGAGCCTGGAGAGAGAAGAGAGAAGAAATCCAACAGATGCTTGGAGGGGGTGTCCCAGGCTCCAGCCCCAGCTCTGCTAAGCCACAAGCATCAAATGGGAGAATCTACCAAGTGGGGCAGAAACTCCGCAGCCGGCTGTTAATGTGACTGGGAGTATTCTTCTGGTGGATTCACAGTGACATTGGGATGCCCCAGGCTGGGTAGGTAAAGACCAGGGGTCTTCCAAGCCAGGAAGCAAATCCTGGATCATAGCTCATAGAGGGCTAGAAAGAACCTCAGAGACCTTTCAGTCCCACCCCTTCATTTTACAGGTAAGGAAACTGAGGCCTAAAAGGTTTCTAGAATTATAGATACAGAGGTAAAAGGGACCTCAGAGTCCCTCATTTTACAGATGAGGAAACCAAAGTCACCCAGGTAAGAAAGAAAGCATTTGGGAGCCAAGTCCTTCAGGCCTGAGGCTTTGCAGACCTGTCTCACCCTGGGGACTTGGGCAGAGGAAGGTCCAGGATCCTCCAATGCAAGTGAAATAGATGAAGGTCGAGTTTGGGTTCCTAAGAATCAGTCGCTGCTGCATGTCTAGACCACACATTGCTCCAGCTCAAAAGAGGAGCCCTGCTCCCAGACTGGGGCCACCTGACCTGGCCTGGACCTGGACCTGGACCTGGACCTGGACCTGGACCTGGACCTGGACCTGGACCTGGCAGGTGAGGCAACATGGGACAGAATCAGGTATGATGGGGATCTAGTGGTAGGGGAGGAAAGAGAAACTGGTGAAGGGGTGAGAGCTATGACAAGCAGCATGCTTGGGGTTGAAGAAGAGACTGACAGACGCAGAGGCTGTTGAGCCTGGGGCTAGGCCCCCAACCCCTCACAAACACCCCACCCCCACCCCCCAGCCAGGCAGTGGAAGCCGATTGGCTGGCTGGGCTATGGGGCCAGCCCCTGGGCCAAAGGCAAGGGGTAACCTGCAGAGGCAGCTGAGATTTGGAGAAAGCTGGGACCCTGGTCTCTGAGAGGGCACTGGGTTCGGTTCCAAACAAGACCCACCTGAGATGTCGTTCCCGAAGTGGAAAATTGCGATTTAGTGTTGGGAGAGCTACGAGGAGGTGAGGAACATTTGGAAGGTCTGGGGACCCTGGTCAGTCGACAAGGCTGGATTTGGAGCAAAGACAGAGCAGGGTACTCCTGGATCGGGACATCCCCGGCCGGTGCTGGGGAATTTCTGGAGAACCTCCGCAGCCCAGGGAGAGGGGGAAGAGTATCAAGGGGTAGGCAGGGACGGTCCCCTTTCTCCCCAGCTAGGGCCTTCAGAGAGCGGGGTGGGCCACTCAAGTGGTCGGTCCTGCCTGCTGGTCTATCCTGAGGAGGGGACCAGAGCCTGACTACTGAGGCGAGAATTTGCAAATGCTCTTGTGGTTCTGAACTGCTAGTGAATTTGGGGCCAGGGAGGGGAGGCACACGCAGGCCTGCTGGGGCCTGGAAATCCCACCAGTCCAGGGCTGGTGGGCTCCCCACAGGGGGAGCTTTTTTCTGGGATGGAAGCAAAGGAAGAACAGCAGTGACCTGCAGCACAGAGCCTGCCCCTTGGGGAGGGGCAGGCCAGCTTCTGGGGAGGGAGGTCATAATGGCCTGCTGGGCTGTGGAAGGGAGCAGGACGTCCACTTCTCAGGCTTCATGAGATGAACAAAACGTCTCGTTTCCTTCCGAGTAGCCCACGTTTCCAGGAAAGATGGCTTGTACTTCGATGGTCTTTGGTGATTAATACAATCTATTCTGAAGTCATGGGACCTCAGAGGTGAAAGGGACCTTAAGAGGTCATCCTGTTGGTTCTGACCTCCCAGCCAGTGCAGACATCCCCTGCACAGATACGCCCGGATTGGCCAGGATCTAGTGCTCTCCCTGGACACCTCTGGGGATGGGAAGAGCTACGGGTTCCTTCTGACCTCCTGAGACAGTTCTGCGGGTAAGTGAGGTCTTCCTTAAATCAAGCTGGGCCCTAATCCTCTGTAATTTCTAGTCATTCATCCCTGTTGCATCCATAGGGACAGAGAGAACAAAGGGGAATCTGAAGCCAAGCCTTCGTAGGGCTGAGAAGCCCAAGTCTATGACATGGTGCCCATGTCAACTTATCCACTGCTTATGGATCTCTGTCATGCTCCCCACCTCCTGCACTCCCTCGTTCCGTCGTCTCCAGTGTCTTTTTGTTTTTTTACACAGTGTCTAGCCCTCTCACCATCCTGGTTGGCCTCCCTCTGTCCAAGGTTGTGATCCTGAATATGGCTGCTAATACATCACCCCCAAACTAGACCTAGCCCTTCTGATGTAGCCTGCCCAAAGTGCAGCTCCTTGGGACACAATGCCTTCCATCCGGATTGTCCCTATTTCTCAAATTCAAGGGCTGGCCCTGAACTCAGGAAGACCTCAGTTTCAAGCCCAGCTTCTGACCTGAAGGCTGTGTGACCCTGCAGCTAGTCACATACCCTCTTGGCACCCCTAGGCAGGTATCTAAAGCTATCAGGTGCATAGAAGGTGGTGACCTACCCTGGAAGAGAAAGTCCTCACCACCTCCCAGGAGCTGCAGGGATATCCACAGGTTCCGTCCAAAAATATAAACACACACACACACACAACCCCTCAAATCTATTTCACTAATTATATAACCCTGGGCAAGACTCCTCACTCAGTTTTATCTTCCGTAAAATGAGGGAGTTGACCCAGACAGTCACAAAGGTCCCTTCTATTTTCAGAGCCTCCGACCACTGAGAGAACATTCTTTTCTGAACAGCAAACAGAGGCTCAGAATCCTCAACAAGCTTATTTGTCAGATGGAAGACACGAGGGCTTGTCAGGATTCTGCCTCAGTCTCCCTGCCTTAAGATCTCACCTCAGTGTCTCAGCATCCTGGTTCCTCCAGGACCACCCAGTTCTTCCCTTTCTAACCTCTTCACCACTCCCCACTCCTTCTGGGAAAGCCTCCTTCCACTGGCTAGATAGAATGGGGAGCTGGGTCAGAGCTTGGGGGACAGCTAACCTTCTCTGGGGGGCTCTAATATCAAAGTGGGAAGCAATTCAGCATGGGCCGACACCCATTTCCACCCCGGTTCCTTCAGCTGGAAGCTGGCTCACTAAAGGCTGTTGGGCAGGGAGAGACCTGACCCTCCTGTCCCAGAGTCAAAAGGCACCGGCTGCTCCCTGGTGAGCTGGCTTCCCTGAGACAGGTGTCTTCACTAGGGCTGAAATTGGGATCCTGAATCCTCCGGCAGCCACAAAACGGGCTCCCTGTGCTTGCCTAGCAAGGTTGAGAGAAAACAGCGTGTGGTAGCCTAGCAACAGCACTAGTCTCCATTGACTGCTGCAGTGGGGCCAAACACTCCCACGGTGGCCAGATGTGGGTGGCAGGGGAGGGGGGGCCTAGATGCTCGGTGTCATGGTTAGCATCTACAGGCATGTGGGAAAGTGTGTGGGTGTGTATGATGGTGTGTGTGAGGACCCAGAACCCTGGCTCTGGGGCACTTTTAAAGGCACCCAAACTCTACAACTGACGGCATTCCCCTCCCCCTTTGATATTTGAAACCTCTTTTCATGGAATCGCCTTTTTAAAACAGATTTTTAAAAATATTGTACAGGGCACCACACCCATGACTGACCAGCAGATGGGAAGTCCTTTTGTCTTCTCTTCCTGCTCTGCCTCCCATAAGCCCTGGATTCACTGAAGCCCGCCACCCTCCCCGGATGCCCATAGCTCAGAGTACCTCAAAGACTTAGCCACTGTTGCCATGGAAAGCCCAGACCAGCGTGGGCTCTAGACAGATGTTGTCCACCCTGGGAGAGAAGGATGGTACGTGATTGGGAGAATGACCATCACATGTGTTCAGGGAGAAGCAATGGAGGCAATGAATGAAAGGTTTGGGGTTCTGGTGGACTGCCAGCTCAATGTGAATCAGCAGTCGACGTAGCTGCCAAGAGAAAGGGTGGAACCTCCATCTGGAGTTCTGGGTTCAGTTCCAGGGACCATTTTGTAGGGATGACAATGACAAGCTGGAGAGTGTTCTGAAGGAAGGGGGCTGGGGGGGGCTGGGGGACTATGTGGTGACATCGTTGGCCAGAGGAACGTGGGGGTGTTTGGTCTGGAGGAAAGATGCTATGGCTGTGTGGACAGTACCAGGGTTACCCTTTGAAGGACTGTCCTGTGCTAGAAGCATTAGCTCTAGGGAGTAGGGGGACTTACAGAGAGGCAGATTTTAGCTGGATATAAGGAAAATCTCCTAACAATCAGAATCAACAGATTCCCCCAGGAGGTACCCCTTTATCCCTAATCTTGCTATATCCCTGTCTACATGTCCTTCTAATTCCATATTCTTCCATCTCATCTTTTTTTTTTGAGGCAATTGGGGTTAAGTGACTTGTCCAGGGTCACACAGCTAGTAAGTGTCTGAAGCCAGATTTGAACTCAGGTCCTCCTGACTCCAGGGCTAGTGTTCTATCCACTGAGTCATCTAGCTGCCCCCCAATCCCATCTTACTATACCCCTCATCTTCCCATCCACTCATCTCCCATCCCCCATCCCCTTCATCCTCATCTTCACTCTCTTATTGACCCATCTTCCCATACACTCCTTTTACTGCCCCTCCATACTCTCCCACCTCCCATTATCCCATCTTTCTATTCCCCATCCCCCATCCATCTAAAGCCCTCACCCTCAATTGTTTTTGAAAATAGTAAATCAGAGAGCAGCTAAATGGCACAGTGGATAGAGCTCTGGCCTTGGAGTCAGGAGGACCTGAGTTCAAATTCAGATTCAGACACCTGACACTTACTAGCTGTGTGACCCTGGGCAAGTCACTTAACTCTGATTGCCTCACCAAGAAGAAAAAAAAAAGAAAGAAAGAGAATAGTAAATCAGACCTCTGTCTCTGAACTCAGCTTTGAAAGGCTCTTGGATGGAACCTGAGCTAGGCAAGGCTCATGTGCAGCACCATCTTCTGCAGGAGGTCTTTCCCAGCCTCCCTCTCAGATGACTTCCTGTCTACTCTGTAGGCATCTCATAGGTGCCTAATTATGGACATGGTGTCTCCACCATTAAAAGGTAATCTCCTTGAAGACAGGAACTGGTTTTTGTTTTTCTTGGAATTCTTCAGTTTAACACAGGGCTTGGGATAGAGTGGAGTGCTTAATGAATGCTTATTGATTGAATTGACCTAGATATAAAATGTAAACTCCTTAAGAGGAGGGATTATTGTATTTGTTTGTTTGTTTTTATGTTCCCGGGGCCTGACATGCAGTAGGTGCTTAATAGATGCTTGTTGATCAATCGTTTGAGAAGTGTGAAGCTAACAATTAAGGTATAACTTCCCTATAAATGGCGCTCCCTCACCCCATTTGCCATCTCCCCAGCCCTTAATCTCTAGTCCTCCATTTGCCTTCTTCTCATCTTCCCATTCAGCAACTTCTAACTAGCCCCTCTCAATCTAATTTCTCCTATCCCTAATCCCTCATCCCTGGGAATCTGGGTGATGCAGTGCAACCTGGAGTCAGGAAGACCCGAGTTGGAATCCTCCCTCAGACACTGAGGGAAACACTCATACAATCCTCCCTCAGACACTGTGTCACTCTGGGCAAATCACTTAATCTCAGTTTGTTCATCTGTAAAATGGGGATGCAGCTCCTACCTCCCAGTATTATTGTGAGCATCAAAAGAGAAAAGGACTTGGCAAACCTTAAAGGGCTATAGAAATGCTAACATGACTGAGCCTGAATGCAGATTGAATCATATGTTTTTATGTTCTTTATTATTCTTGGGTTTTTTGGGTCTGTGTTTTCTTTCAAAACATGGCTAATGTGAAAATGTTTTGCGTGACTGCACATGTATCATCCATATCAAACTGCTTGCCTTCTCAAGGAGGGGGAAGGGAAGGAAGGGAGGGAGAGAACTTGTAATTCAAATTTTTAAAAAATGAGTGTTAAAATTGTTTGTTTACATGTTATTAAGGGATTGTTATTCCTTCTATCCTCTCATCTGCTTATCTTTTCCTAGCACCCTCAATCCTTCATCTTCTCTCCTCTACCCTCCATTCATCATTCTCCCTCTATTCCATCCACCACTTCCAGGCTCTCTCCATACCATGCAACCCATTCACCAGCAGCATCTTCATGTTCCCCTTCCCACCCAGTCCCCAACATTCAAAACCAAGTTTTTTGCCTTCTCATGCCTATCTCTCAGTCACCTCCACTACATCCCACTGTGTACAGCCTTGCACCCAGCTCTCCCAAGGTGTTGTCTACCTCAGTGGTGTCAAACTCAAATAGAAAAGAGGAACCATTGACTCATACATAAGGATCCCTAGAGGCCACATATTTACTTAGTTTTGGCATTTAATTTTTTTGTATTTTAATTTGTTAAGTATTTCCCAATTGAAGATTTATATGAACTGATGCATAGTGAAGTGAGCAGAATCAGGAGATCATTGTACACAGCAATAACAATAGTGTATGGTGATCAGCTAGCCATGAATGACTTAGCTCTTCTCAGCGAAACAATAATCCAAGACAATTTCAAAGGACTCATGATGAAAAATGCCATCCACCTCCAGAGGGAGAACTGATGGAGTCTGAATGCAGATTGAAACATACTTTTTTATTTCATTATTCTTGGGGGTTTTTTTGGTCTGTGTTTTCTTTCACAACATGGCTAACGTGGAAATGTTTTGCATGACTACACATGTATACATTATATTTCTTGTCTTCTCAAGGACGGGCCAGGGGAAAAAGGGAAGAAGAGAATTTGGAACTCAAAATTTAAAAAAAAATGTTAAAATTTTTTGCATATATGTAATTGAGAAACATTTAATTCCCCAATTATATATTTTTAAATTTTTAAAACATTTTTATTTAAAGTTTTGAGTTTCAAATTCTGTCCCTCCTCCTTCCCCTAGACAGTAAACAATCAGATGTAGGTTATACCTGTGCAATTATGTAAACATTTCCATATTAGTCATTTTGTACAAGATTCAATTAAAAGAAAAAAATGAAAGAAAGTGAAAATAGCACACTTCAGTCTGAATTCAGCCAATATCAGTTCTTCCTCTGGAGGTGGATAGCATGCCTCATCATTAGTCCCTTGGGATTGTCTTGGATCATTGTATTGCTGAGAAGAGCTAAGTCATTCACAGTTTCTTGTTGAACAATATTGCTCTTACTATGTACAACATTCTCCTGGTTCTGTTCACTTCACTATGCATCAGTTCATGTAAGTCTTTCCAGGTTTTCTGAAATCATCTTGCTTGTCATTTCTTATAGTGCAATCATATTCCATTACAATCATATACCACAGCTGGTTTAGCCATTCTCCAATTGATGGGCATTCTTTTGATTTCCAATTCTTAGCCACCACAAAAAGAGGTGCCACAAATATTTTCATATAAATAGGACCTTTTCTTCTTTTTTGGATGTCTTTGGGATATGGACCTAGCAGTGGTACTGCAGAATTAAAGGGTATGCACAGTTTTATAGCCCTTTGGGCATACTTCCGCATTGCTCTCCACAATGGTTGAATCAGTTCACAACTCCACCAACAGTGCATTAGTGTCCCAGTTTTCCCATATCCCATCCAATATCCAACATTTTCTCTTTTTTTTGTCATATTAGTCACTCTGATGGATGTGAGGTACTTCAGAATTGTTTTAATTTGTATTTCTCTGATCATAGTGATTCAGAGCATTTTTCCATGTGACAATAATTAGCTTTGATTTCTTCATCTGAAAACTGCCTTGAACCATTTATCAGTTGGGGAATGACCTGTATGTATTTTTATCAATTTGACTCAGTCCTCTATATATTTGAGAAATGAAGCCTTTACCAGAGACACTTATTGCAAAAATTTCCCCCCAATTTTCTGCTTTCCTTATAATTTTGTTTGCTTGGGTTTTGTCTGTGCCAAAACTTTTAATTTTATATAAGCAAAATTATCTATTTTAAATTTTGTAATGCTCTATATATCTTCTTTGGTCCTAAATTCTTCCTTATCCACAAATCTGACAGATAAACTATTCCATGCTCTCTTAATTTGCTTATGGCATCATCCTTTAAATCATGTACCCATTTTGACCTTATCTTGGTATATGGTGTGAGATGTTGGTCTATGCCTAGTTTCTGCCATACCATTTTCCAGTTTTCCCAACAGTTTTTGTCAAATAATGACTTTTTGTTCCAAAAGCTTGGATCTTTGGGTTTATCATATACTACATTACTATGGTCATTTACTATAATGTAATTTGTACCTAATCTATTCCACTGATCCACCACTCTATTTCTTAGCCAGTACCAGATTGTTTTGATAATTGCTTGAGATCTGATATAGCTAGACTACCTTTTTTCACCTATTTTTGAGCCGATTCCCTTGATAACCTTAAGCTTTTGTTTTCCCAGATGGATTTTGTTATTATTTTTTCTAGCTCTATAAAATAATTTTTGACAGTTTGATTGGTATGGCACTAAATAACTAGATTAATTTAGGTAGCATTGTCATTTTTATTATATTGGTTCCACTAATTACATTTTAATCTAATTGAGGCAGCCTCAGGAGTGTTGTGAGCTGTGTTTGATATCTTTGATTTACCCCAGTTAGAACATAAGGCTTTTTTGCCTTTTCTTCGTGTGCTCAGCACTTAATACAGTTCCTGATACACATAGAAAGCACTTCCTATCCCTGCCACCCTTTCCATCTTTTGCCTGAGAACTGTAACTAGATCAACACCATTGTCTTTGGGAAGAACATGGCCATTAACTGCCCTTGCTCCATGCACCATCTTGTGACTTCCCAGACAAGAACTCCCTGGACTGGTCACTAGTCCCCTGTATGTACAGCTCTCTTATTAGAATATAACAGGATATTATAGAACAGAATATCTAGAATAGAGTATAATTTTAGAATATAAACCTCCCTGAGGGCAGAGGGTTTTGTACCTTGGTATCTGTATCCCCAGCACTTAGCATGGTGCTTGACATGTAGTGAGTGCTTAATGAAGGTATCCATTCATGCAATCATTCATGCATTGTCTCATTCACTCATCTTCTGGTCTCCATTTTCCCTTCCTCTTCCATTTTTATCTGCTTATTCCCCATCCCTCAATCCCCACCCCATCTCTTATTTTCTATCTTCATCATTCTCCCATACTCCCATATATACATCTTTCTATTCACTCATCCTCCCATTCTCTCATCCTTCCATCCATCCTTTTGCCATCCCCTTCATTCCTCATCTTTCTGTAGTACCATCTACCCATTCCCTTACTCTTCCATCTTCCCATCCTTCCGCCTCCTATTCCTCTAGCTCACCGTCCTCCCATCCTCCATTGCTTATCTTCTTTGTCCCTCACTTTCCTATACCCCTATCCACTTATCTCCCTATTCTTCCATCTTTCCATCTTACTTTATCCATTCCCTTCATCCTTCATCATTCTATATTCCTATATATATATCCATTCTTCTATTCCCCTATCATACCATTCTCCCATTCTCTAATCCCTCTATACCCCTCCTACTCCCATCCTCTCATCCACCATTGCCTAGCCTTCTATAGCCCCCTCTCCTAACACTCTCAATCATCTTTGAAAATAACAGATCAAATCTCTGTCTCTCAATTCAGCTTTGAAAGGCTCTTGGTTGGGACCTGTGCTGTTACAAGGCCCAGGGATTTCGGAATGAACTTCAGTGGATTTTTCAGATCTTTATTTATCATCTCTGTTGGTTGGGCAGTGACAGCTGAATTGTGTGTCTCAACATCAGTCAGAGCTTTTGAAGTCAGAGCTGCCTCAGACTCAGAATCCGGCTTTCTCATCCCCCTTCCCCCGCCTTGTGGGCCAGACATCAGAGAAAGGTCAGGTGGGAGCTGTGAGACTGGGGCAGCCACAGTGCTAAGTAACCTGAATGCTAATCATGGCTTCTGGAGACAGTGTCAGCATGGGCTGGAGAGTCCCCAACTCCACAGCAAAGGCCTGGGAGACATGTCCATGCCTCTCCATGGAATCTGGGCCCTTATCTATTGCTCTCTGTGGTGAGGGACTTGGGGGGCCCCTCCATACCTGTGTGACCTGGCAAATTCCCTAAGGGACATGATATAGTTTAAATCCCACTCCAAACACTTACTAGCTGGGTGACCCTGCGTAAGTTACTTAACCTGTACCTCAGTTTTCTCATATGTAAAATGAGGATGTTGGGATGAATAGCTTCTAAGGCCCCTCTAGCTCTAAGTCTGTGGTTCTGTGATTGCTTTCTATGGGGCCTGGGGCCACATCTTTTCTTCTTTCTGGAATCTGGGCTCTCCATGGGAGTGGGAATCCAGTCAGTTCGACAAATGCTTGTCAAGTGCCTACTAGTGTGTGCTGGCATTGTTCCTGGCACATTGTAGGACCTTAATAAATGTGCATTGATGCGAATTGCAAAGCACTGTTGTGGGATCCTGGGAACATGAAGACTAAAATGGTTCCTTCTCTCTGGAATATCTAGTCTGCTGGGGAGTTGGCAGAGATCAGGTGCTGTAGAAGGAAAGAGGAAGGAGAAAGCAGGAAAAGTTAGGGGGCTCAGGAAAGTCTTCATGGAGCTGATCTTTGCAGAAAGACAAGGATTCTGAGAAACAGAAGTAAGGAGAGAGTGTGTTCTAGGCATGGGGTATGATTATCTCCAATTTACAGAGGAGGAAGCAGAAGCCTTTTCATTTGACCAAGGCCTGTCAGGTAATGTCAGAGGCAAAATTTAGGATTTGAACCAAGGTGTCTCACTATGCCCCTGGGGATCCCCTATTTATAATTTGACCAGCATTCATTAAGCATTTACTGAATACCAGGCATTACAATGGGTACTGAGGACCCAAAGATAAAAATCGAGCAGTCCCTGCCCCCAATTCTAATGCTAGCTGGAAATATGAATGCAAAATAAATGAGAAGTAATTGGGGATAGGGCTGTGACAATTAGGGAATTGGGAGAGTCTCCCTATGGGAAGTAGCATTTGAGCTAATCCTTGCAAGGAGAGGAGGAGGTTTACATTCCACAGAAATGGAAGTTACAGGAAGCACGTGATGGGGGTGGGGAGAGCATGGTGGAATAGAAAAGGGGGCTGATGTTGGAGTCACAGGATCTGAACTCGAGGCCCGCATCT